AATTAAATTTTATATGTTAAAACATAGCCGTAATCAACATTTAAAAATGTAGTTGTCACACTTTGTTAAAACCTTCCCAGAAAAAAAAATTTGTTATTTTTCCATATCAAATAAAACAGTCAAAATTTCATAAATAGGATGGCATTAGAACTATTCACCGGGAGAAAAACAGTTTATTTAAGCTTTCGCCTAATATTAAGTGATTAGAATTTTATGGCATCAAATAGGCCCACCTAATGGAGTCACTTAATTCCTTGCATATTATAGCCTAGAGGGCTAATCTGCCAATCTCATAACCCACAGAATAGAGGTTCAAGTCCCATCGTTGACACTATAATACTCCCCACATTCTCTTCAATACACGACGAGTTTCCAGTGTTAAACACTCCTCAATTCATGACCCTGGACTATTAGAATATGATAACATGATTACCATAAAGCTGCTTTGCACTAAAAAAGTCTTTTTTTTAATGGCTTACGATAGGTGAAACAACCAGGTAGTCTTCCACTGTTCATTTGATAAAGCACAACTCAACCACTACTTAACTTCAATGCCTAGTTCCTAATTAAAAGCCTAGCTTCAAGGTGGCCCAGTCAAATTTCTTTTTTACGGTTTGGAAACCTCACTAAATATAAATGGATATATTTATAGTATAAAATCACCTCTTCAAGTGCAAAACACTTAAACTGCGACTTCTTTATTTTCCTTGGTTAGAGAGCTTCGAAAAATGCAGTTGTGATAATATGTCCACAAATAGTTAAATTATCATTATTAAATTTCTTATGTTAAAATAGAGGCTTAATTAGCATATTAAAAAGTAGTTCAAAATTGAGTTAAATTAGAATTTACCCCATATTAGAGTAGAGTCCTTTTGTGTATCGAAATTAGTCCATTAAAATGAGCTTTATTTTAATTTGTGATTAAAATTTTCCGTACTTTGCAGTCTAGCGTTCTCTTTAAAAAACAATTTTTTTAGTAAATTTACTTTGAAGCAAATGTATAGGAAAGATATAATTATCTGTCATATCTACAAAATCAGGCGAATAATTTCTTCTCTTTAAACTCTTCTCTGCATTAGTCCGTTCTATATTTATTTTATGTCATTTTATTTAATGCGGCGTACCTATTTGGAATGACCTTCATATTATAAGCAAAATCAATATTCAAAGATTTAGTGATTTAATGGAAAATGGCATAGAACTCCCAGCACTAATTACAGAAATTCCAGCTTTTGTGCGTGCTATCATCTGCATAAATAATCGATTCCTGTAGAAGTTTTCAAACCTCAATGGTCTTTATTCATCTTTTTTAATCTGCCTTTGTTTAGCTAAAATAAAAGTATTTCTAAACAAGTTTTAATCATAATATCGATAGTAAATGTATTTTGTTTATTTTTCTTGTTACTCTATAATTTACTGATACATGTTTATTTTGTAATTTTCAAGGAATACGTAAAAATGTGGTTCAGTGAACTTAGAAATTATGACAGTACTTTGTCTTTTTGTGAATTGACAAATAAGCTAGGTCACTTTCACTTTCACTTGTGTATTCGGAAAAGTTTATATAAGTAGTCAATTAACTTTTTAAAAAAGTCAATATTATCATAAAATATAAGAAAATATATATAAAAAAACAGACACTACAAACATCACTGAGCTTTTTTATTTTATTACATTAAGAATTGTAACAGGATAAGAACCCATACACTGAAAAAAATTACGGATCAAGTTACGGTATAAAGTGCAGACACATCATCCGTAAAATCTGTTATACGATAAAATCCATTTTAACCATAAAATATTATGCCGTAATTTTAACTGTAATATTTAATCAAATTGATTCAGGGAATTTAGGGTAATTATTACAGTAAAAAGTTTGGAAAATCAGTTTTATTGTTCCATAATGTGATTCGGTACTGGAACCCTGACTGATCTGGAATTTTTTCAGTGTAGAGGCACCCATAATTAATAGACTTTTAATGATACTGTTAACAATAACAACTGTTAATGATAAATGGTTAACCATTAGTTGTTTCCGAAAACATTCGACCCTTTTAAAAATCGATTAAAGTAAAACAGAAAGAGTTACAAAGTTCTGTTTGACAAACCAGAAAATTGATTCTCACAAAATTAAGAACAAAAATTGTTACGAATTTCGTTAGCAGACGGTTCTAACGAATAAATAAAAGTATGCGTCCTGCTGAATGTCAGATCATTCTGAATCTAATATTCCCTACAGTAAATAGTAATTAGTTTGAAAAATTGCTGTTTTATTGCTTTTTTCAGCTACCAGTGCCATCTATTGATGAACTTGTAACTAAATTTAAAATTTAGTGAGAATAAATACCTCGTATCTTAAGCGGAATGTAATTGGCAATACAATTCTTTCTACTTCAGGTTTTATTATCACTTAGTTCACTTTTAGGACATCAGTAATCTCACAATGCAATGATTTTAAAGGCAAAAACTTTATCTTTATTGAACTATTTTTTTATATATATAAACTATACTATTTATCTATTATATATTGAACTATTTTTTATCTATATAAACTATACTATTTATCTATTATATATTGAGCTATTTTTTGATCTATATGATCTATATGAACTATTTTTTGATATTGTTCTTTAAAAATATTGAAATATTGTTAATTAATAAAACGAACACTATCAAGCTCTCCAATAAAATTATGTTCCAAATGCAACAATTATCTATCTGCATCTATTTTATCTCTGTTTGGAAAAAAAGCTTCATTTTAAACTTTATCTATACATATAAATCTGAAAAAAGTAATTATTTTAATGATTATGCGCAATATATCTTAAATAGTTATAATAACAAATAGAAGCTTTTGTAATTTTAAAAGTAAAGTCATTCATTTTACAGAATAAGTGTAATTAACTATGTAATTTCATGAAATTAAAATAGTAATAACAATATTTTAAAATAATGTTACTTCTTTATAATAAAATATTTCACATTCAGAATTATTGGATAGAAATAAGGAATCAAATTTAAGATGAAAACAAAAAAAAAGTTAAATATTCTTTCAAAAATACCAACTCTTATAAATACTTAATATTGCAACATTAAAAGAAAGCTACATTCCCAAAATGTCATTAAGCACATAACAAATGACTATTTTCATCTGAAATAATGATTTTCAAACAATAACGCCATACTTTAGAATTTTTATAGCGTTCGATAATGTACTAGTAGAATAACAATTGTCTTGCAATTGCTCTCATTATTTTCCTCCTTATGTTTAATCTTTGTAAAAAAAAAACTGAGAATTCAATTTTAACCTAATTTATTCATATGAAACTGAGAATGAAGTTAATTGAATGATTGTTAGGCTCGTTTTATCAAATACGGTTTTTTAATTGTCTTTTCTATTCGCTAGAGAATTAATAAATACATACATATAATAAGTTTAAGTATATATTTTTGTCGAGTTTTAGTAATTATTGTTAATTGGCTTAATAGATTTACCCAGAAAACAAAGTAAAAAAAAATACTTTTTGAATTCTTGAAAACTTTAATAGTAAATAAAATGGGAAATAATTATCTTAAATAATTATATCTTTTCCTGTTTGTTTTTTTAATAAAATTTTTTTTTTTTAAATTATCATGCTGATAAAAAATATTGCCATGTTTTCTAACTGTACTGACTCGTTTCAAAACGACAGTGATTATTTACAAAGAGCAGGCTTATTTAGTTATATTATATTCTCTTCTGTAGTAGGAGATATAAATTATCGGATAAAAATTTAGTCAAATCGTTGGACTCTCTCAAAAATGTATACCAAATCTGATTGGCATTTTTTGAGCATCGCTTTTACCAAACATTTCCATAACTGTGATTTAAATTATTAAAAAAAATACTTTTTTTTAATTTATTGGGCTCTCTCAAAAATCGATACCACTGATGGAGCTGCGCTGACTCAAGACATAAAGCCTTCGCCTTCTAATGAGACAACCTGGGTTCGAATCTCAGCGGCGACTGGTCGATTTGAATTCAGCTCCCGGCGCACGTCGACCGATATAAAATAAAATTAAAAAAGTATATTTTAAATTGTTGAACTCTCTCAAAAAATTAATCCAATATCTGAATGGCATATCATTAGCGTCGCAGTTTCCAATCATTTCCATGCCTGCGATAAAAATTATAAAAAAGACTATTCTAAATTGTTAGGCTCTCTCAAAAAATAAATCTAATATTGTGAATGACATTTTTTGAGCGTCGCTGTTTCCAATCATTCCCATGCCTGCGATAAAAATTATAAAAAAGACTATTCTAAATCATTGGGCTCTCTCAAAAAATAAATCCAATATTATGAATGGCATTTTATGAGCGTCACTCTTTCCAATCATTTCCATGCCTGCGATAAAAAATATTAAGATCATTCTAAATATCGTTGGGCTCTCTCAAAAAATAAATCTAATATTATGAATGGCATTTCATGAGCGTCGCTGTTTCCAATCATTCCCATGCCTGGGATAAAAATTATAAAGAAGATCATTCTAAATATCGTTGAGCTCTCTCGAAAAATAAATCTAATATTATGAATGGCATTTTATGAGCGTTGCTGTCTCCAATCATTCTCATGCCTGCGATAAAAATTATTAAAAAGGACTATTCTAAATTGTTAGGCTTTCTCAAAATATAAATCTATAATAAATATAAATCTTATCTTATATTATGAATGGCAGTTTATGAGCGTCGCTGTTTCCAAACATTTTCATACCTGCGATATAAATTATAAACAAAACATTATTTTAAGTTATCGGGTTCTCTCAATAATCAATATCAAATGAATGGAATTATATGATTGTGTTCCATACCTGACCTTTTAACAAAGAAATATTTGAAATAGGTTAGAAATACAAAAGCTTGAAATAATTTATCCCTCCAGGGTTGTCGCCGGAACATCCCATAAAATGTCTGCCAGTGTGTTCTTTAATGACACTAATTGCATTTTTGTTTCTATTTTCAGGCATCTGTATATTCTACTGCTGTTAAAACTTTGATCTCCGTTTCTACCCTTATGCTATTAGGACTTATAGTAGCTTATCATGCTCTTGAAGTACAGGTGAGAACTCTTTAATTGTTTTTTTTTTCTCTTCTAAAAATTAAATCTATAAGAGCAATTCTCAAAAGAGGGGAAGAACAATGTCAACTGTGTTATTTGCATTCAGAGAAAAAAAATCTCCTCTGCAAATTTCTTCTCTTCTGAAAAAATATTTTTCTCTTCTAAAAATTGATTCTATAAGGGCAATTCTCAAAAAGTGGGAGGAATAATGTCAACTACAGATAATATTGAATTATACTGATACTTGTGTTTTTTACACTCAGAGAAAAAAAATCTCTTCTAAAAATTTATTCTGTAAGGGCAATTCTCAAAAAATGGGAGGAATAACGTCAACTACAGTTAATATTGAATTATACCGATATTCGCGTTATTTGCACTCTGAGAAAAAAAATATCTTCTAAAAATTTCTTCCCTTCTAAAAGAAATTTTTTTCTCTTCTAAAAATGAATTCTATAAGGGCAATTCTCAAAAGGTGGGAGGACTAATGTCAACTACAACTGATGTTGAATTATACCGATACTTGTATTATTTGCACTCAGAAAAAAAAATATCTTCTAAAAATTTCCTCTCTTCTAAAAATTAATTCTATAAGGGCAATTCTCAAAAGGTGGGAGGAATAATGTCAACTACAGCTAATATTGAATTATACCGACATTTGTGTTACTTGCTCTCAGAAAAAAAAGATCTCTTCTAAAAATTTCTTCCCTTCTAAAAAATTCTTTTTCTCTTCTAAAAATTAATTATATAAGGTCAATTCTTAAAAGGTGGGAAAAATAATGTCAACTATAGCTAATATTCTATTATACCGATACTTGTGTTATTTATAAACACAGAGAAAGAAAATCCTGGTACAATTACCGGACTATGTGATAATGACATTTATGGAGAAAAAAACATAATTCTGATTAGTAAAGCCAAAATATACGGCATTTAAGCCATTATAATTATAGTTCCTATTACTACAATTTTAATCAAAATTAAAGATTTTATTAAAGCGCATTTAGTAAAAAATGCAAAACTGAAAAATAAATTTAACTGAATAAATGGTTTCTGTGCCATGCTCTGAGGTATCATAATAAAACTAATTAATGTGATACCATGATTAATTAATGTGATATCATGATAAAATAAGCCATAAAATGGACATAACTTGAAATACGCATTTAAATAAGTGAATGTAGCTCACACTGAGATAGAAATTCTACTGCAATTAAGACATTCTATGGTACTGACGTACCTGCTAAAAAACATAATTCTGATAAATAAAACCAAAATATGCAATATTTAGATCATTCATTTGTTAATTCTTCCGTTTGTATGGTAGCGGTTTGCAGGAAACACAAAACTGAAAAGTAAATTTAATCGAATAAATGGTTTTTAAGTCATGCTATGAAGTATCATGATAAAATTAGCGCATTTTATCACACATATCAAATTTTATCACTTATTAGAAAACAATATTTTATTTTTAGTTTTAATAAAATCATTAACAAAGCGCTTCCGTAAAATATTACCAAGCTTTTGGATATTTCCATAGCCATAGAAGCTGATAAATATTCTATAGTTTTGACCATACTTTTTTTCTCGGTACACTAAATATTCATCACTCTAGTAAAATACCTTTCTATAAAAAAATTACTTTACAATTGCTTTTTTGTTGAATTTTAGTATATCAGAATATGTAAAAGAATTAATTTAGGGGAAAACAATCAGTGTTGCGATTGCTACGCAATTCGAACTAAATTTTGTGTGAAAGTCACTTTGTTGTAAAAATATTTCCTAAAAACGCAAAAAAGATATTTCAAAATAGTTGAAGAAATATTTAATAGTTTATAAATAAGATTAATGAACTTACTTATACTCTTTTCTCTTAAACTAATAACACTGTTTCTATCATTACATTAAGACTGAAAGTAAGAAAGAAATAAAAAAAATTATAGTAAAACCATCTCGCTTTTTTCGTTTAAGTTAAAATAAGCTTTTACTATTCTTAATTATAAACTATTCATCGCTATTTATTTTTACTCTCAGAAAAAAAACTCTATGTATAAGTTATAACTGTAAAAAAGGTCTTTGTAGTTATCTGCATTTTTTTTTTTTTTACATGGCTCCAAAAACGCGTGTATTTCTCTATCTAAATTGGCAACACTGAAATAATACATTTTGTTAAGTTTTCTACCGTAATAATTTAAGTAGGGTTAAATAATTAGTTATATATTAAGCATTTATTTAACTTCATTTTGTTAGGAAGTCTTAAGTGATAGTTTAAATAGTGTTGCATAGTTAGTTATGCATTAAGTATTAATTTACGGTTCTTTATCTTATCTGATGACAGAGATGAAAATAATTCGATTATATACACTACACAACATTAATGGAAGAGACAATTTCAGTTTTTGATATTTTTTTTAATTTCTCAAGAAATGCTTAGAGGACTTTTTTGTAACTTTAAAAGTGTTTAGTTAATGCGATTTTTTATATTTTACAATAAAGTTTAAAGCTTTCGGAAACTGACAATAAATTACGAAGGAAAACAAGTATTTCTGGACACCCTATGCCTAAAAATCAAAGGATAACTTGTAGTTTGTATTGATTACTTTGGTTGTTATTTGCAATAACTGCATTAAATTTCGTAAATCTATCTTTATTTATATTAAATATTAACATTTTTATAAAAAAAATGAGGGTTTTTTTCATTCAATAAACTTAAACACATTTTTTGGAGCATTTTAAGATTATTCACAAATTATTATTTTAAAACTTAAAAAATAAAATTTAAAACATGCGCAAGATATGAGTATTTACAGTAATTCTTTTATACTGCGCATGCGCGAAAAGTTGAAAATTATTTTTTTCAAAATTTTATAGTGAGTTGTATTTGCCAACTAATTAAAAAATTCTGATTTGAGTACTTTGAAAAAACGCAAAATGTTTCAAGTAATTTTCTAAATAGTTTTTGTACTTTTTAAAAAAAATGATTAGGGGTTTTCCACATATTTTATTATGTTGTATTGCAAATTACACTACCCTATAATAACCAGACAACAAGACAAAAATAACTAGATATTAAGCTAGATTTACGATATTTTACGCAAATATTGCAAACATTAAGCAAAGTAATCGATACTAGCTTATTGCTTGATTTTCTGACATAGAGTATTCAAAAATACTTGTTTTATTTCGTAATTTATGGTCAGTCCCTCATACTTCTGAAAGTTTTAAACTTTGCTGCAAAGTAAGAAAAATAGCATGAACTAAATACTTCTAAAATTACAAAAAAGTCCTCGAAGTATTTCTTGAGAAATACAAAAAAAATATTAAAAACTGAAAGTGCCTCTTCCATTATTGTAGGGTAGTGTATATGCTGCCTACTATGCTGAAATGCCCGGAACTCATACTTATGGCTGTCGGGCAGGTTTTAAATTATAACGAAAATTCAAATCACAGACATCTCTGGAAAATAGTTAAAATTGAAATCAAAGTACTTTCGCACTGTTGGCAACAGCTTGTCGTTATTTTAATTTTCACGAAAACAGGCTGTAATGAAAAACTTTACAGTTTTTGCTCTTTTTTCGTCTTGATATAAGTAAAATTTTTGCCCTGCGGTAACAGAAGAACATGCTTCAAAACACTAAATTACTTTCTCTAAAATTCCTTCACACAGTAGTTTACAACTTCGCTGCCATTTATTAAGTGCTTTATCAAGTAATCATTCAATTTTACTCTCTTGTTTTTAGTTTTTCTTCTGGACTAGAAGAATAAACTGTTCATAGTTACACTGGCTCAGTTAAATGTCCAAAATTCGTCCTTTTGGTCAGAAAAAAAATTATTTTTTTAAGTATTTATTGAAAACTTTTGCACCAATTTATATTTCTTGTATTTAGACAAAATTATAAATTTTTTCCAAAACTATTTATTGTGCGTTTAATTTAAGCTGTTTAATTATTTTCTGAGTTTAGAGATAACATCTATTTTATGATTCCACCTTTTGAGAATTACCCATAAGAGAGGTATGTAGTTTTTAAATTTTATTACATAAGTAATGTTTATATACTTGTGGCAATGCATTTTTCGCTCCGTTAATTAATCCCTGAGAAAAGTTATTTTAATTACCTTTTATGATCAAATATTATATTGAAAATATTTATTTTCATCTGTTTGTTGACCGTTTTGAAAAAGACGGAGGATATAAAACGGATATAATATGTCTTTTTTCCATTTCCTTCTACTGTTAAAAATTCTAAAATTCCTGTTTCCAATTGGAATTTTCTTCAAAACTGATGGAAATCAAAAAGGTTAGAGTCTGAAAAGCTTTAAATATGACGAAAATCAAAAAGATAAATGTCTAAAAATTTCCAGAAATGACAATTCCAAAAATATTTTCTAAAATATTTTTGGAAATAATTTCCAAATATATACATGTGGAATATTTCAACAGTGAGGAAAATCGAAAAGATAAATGTCTAAATATTTTAAAAAATGGCAATACTCAAAAAATAAACGTCTGAAAGCTTTTAAAAGTCGACGATGATTGAAAAGGTAAGCGTCTAAAAATTTTCAAAAACGACGATAATCGAAAAGAGTAACGTCTAAAAAATTACGAAAATGACAATAATCGAAAGGAGAAACCTCTAAAAATTTTCAAAAAGGACGATAATCAAAAGGAGAAACCTCTAAAAATTTTCAAAAATGACGATAATTGAAAAGGAGAAACCTCTAAAAATTTCCAAAAATGACGATAATTGAAAAGGTAAACGTCTAAAAATTTACGAAAAGGACAATAATCAAAAGGAGAAACCTCTAAAAATTTTCAAAAAGGACGATAATTGAAAAGGTAAACGTCTAAAAATCTTCAAAAATGACGAAAAGCGAATAGATTAAGCCTAAAATAATAATTATAAGAGAATAACCATATCGTTATATGGAGAATATTTTAAATGGAGTTTAACGTTCTGATTAAAAACTGCATTATAGTGAAACAATTTCGTGCAGGGAAACTT